GGTGCGTTAAAACGTATCTGCCTGTCCGTTCGAAAACAGTTACGTGTCTTCTTCTGGCGCCACTGTTTGAACCATGCAGCACGCATCTTCCTTCTTCCTCCAAAAAACGGGTATCTCCTGTAGTTATTCCATTTTTCTCGATCAAGGTCCATAGTTTTTGTTTTAAACGCCCTTTTAAAACCCTTTGGGGGGCTTATCATTTGACCTACCTAAAGTAACCGACAAAAGTAGCCCGACCTATTTTTTGACCGACCTGAATAAAAAATTGAAAAAAAAATTGAATAAAAATATTCGCATTTTTGACCGACCTAGACTTGACCGACCTGAAAAAAAAAATTGAAAAAAAAATTGAAAAAAAATTTTCGCGTTTTTGACCGACCTAGACTTGACCGACCTAAATAAAAAAATTGAATAAAAATATTCGCATTTTTGACCGACCTAGACTTGACCGACTTATAAAAAAATTTGAATAAAAAATTAAATAAAAATATTGACCGACCCAGACTTGACCTACCTAAAAAAAAACCTTGAATAAAAGAATTCAATAAAATATTCGCATTAGTGACCGACTTGAATTAAAGAATTCCTAGAGAGCGGGGGGGGTTTTGGCGCACTTGACGCCGTTGCCTCCGTCGAGCCCGTCGAGGCCGCCGTCGAGGCCGCCGTCGAGGCCGCCGTCGAGGCCGCCGTCGAGGCCACCGTCGAGGTCGCCGTCGAGGCCGCCGTCGAGGCCGCCGTCGAGGCCGCCGTCGGGGCCGCCGTCGAGGCCGGTCCTCGCTGTGCTCCAGGGCGTCCCGAATTGTCTTGATCCCCGGAACGTCGCTCGTCGGGGGCCAAAGGCGTCCGTCACTTCTTCCGGAAACGCCGCGAATCCGCATGTTAGCCTTCGGCGGGGGGGGGCCCCCGGCCGGGAGGAGGCCGCGCAGAACGAGCGTGATGACGGCGCCAGTTTCGACCACCGTGGGGCAGGGCGTGTCGTTGATGAGGACGTCGATGACGGGGGACCGTCTCCAGGGTGCACGGCGGCGCAAGCGACGAGGGGTCGGCGTGCAGCGGGGCGATGACGGAGTCGCCGGGGTAGGTCCGCGCCGCGCCGCGCCCCTAGCGGCGGTCGCGGCGGTACCGGGGGTTCGTTCCCCTTGGGGTTTCTGACATCTCCCCGACGATCGTCACGGTGGCCGTTACGGCGATTGTCGCGGTGGTCGTCGCCTCGGCGGCCCTTTTTCGTCGCGGCGGTCTCGGCGTGCCGGACAGTCCCGGCCAATGTGGCCCACCTCCTGGCACCAAGTCGGTCAATAATGCGAATATTTTTATTGAATTCTTTTTTTCAATTTTTTTATTAGGGAGGTCAAGTCTGGGTCGGGCAATATTTTTATTGAATTTTTTTATTCAATTCTTTTATAATGTCGGTCAAGTCTAGGGCGGTCAAAAAGGGGGGAAATTCAACAGGTATAAGGTCCCGTCAGATATAATCCCATCAGGTATAATGTTCTTTAGGATAATTGGCAACACCATAATTTTTCAACAGGTATAATAGATTTACTTTTAGTTTCATCAGGGATAATTTGCATGAAGTATAATTCCCATCAGGGATAAATTTTATTTTTTAAATTTTTTTTATATTTTTCATTAATTCAGCTCTGAGGAGCGATATACTGTGGGGAAAAGTGACACCTTGCCAGGGGGGTGCATTCAAAAGCAAAGCAATAGTGGAACCTTGGCCAAGGAGGGAGACATACCAGGGGTTTGGGAAGAAGAAAAGAAATCAGAACTGACACTTGTTGTTTTTCACTATGTAGGCAACTGTAAATCGCGACACTAACATAGAATAACAAGTGAAGTACAAGTATTGGTATTGAAGGCTTGCAGCTTCAAACAGTGTGCTCAAAATGTTTCGGGAGGGGGTGAAAGACCAACAGCTGCCTACCAGAGGGTTTTCTCAGGACGGACGGAAAATGTACTGTCAATAAGGATCCATACTGCAGCTGGAAAAATTTGTGTATTATGCCTGATGGGAATTATATTTGGGGTTATTTTGATGACATTATCCCTGAGGAATTATATGTGAAGAGAATTATATCTTATGCTACGCTTGCATTTTTTGTATATTATCGTTTATCTGTTAGAATTATACCTGAGGAGATTTCGTGTAAATCAACAAAATTATTTATGCTTTTATATCTGATGAAAATTATGCTTGATGAATTATCCCTGATGGGACCTTATACCTGATAAAGACTACTCGGTCAAAAACGCGAATTTTTTTATTCAATTTTTTTATTCAATTTTTTTATTCAGGTCGGTCAAATCTAGGTCGGTAAAAAATGAAAATATTTTTATTCAATTTTTTTATTAAATTTTTTTATTCGGTCGGTCAAGTCTAGGTCGGTCAAAAATGCAAATTTTTTTATTAAATTTTTTTATTCAATTTTTTATTCAGGTCGGTCAAAAAATAGGTCGGTCTACTTTTTGTCGGTCTACTTAGGTAGGTCAAATGATCGCCCCGGGCCCTTTGTAACAAAGATCGTACGGTAACTTCGTTTTTTCGATAAAACCATTGCGAGAGATAAGACAACAACCCTGAATACAAACTGCGTCGTGTCCAAAAATTCCCTTTTCTTTTGGGCTGCCGTTCGCCTGCTCTTCGGCTGCTATTTGGCTTTCATTCGGCTGCTTTTTGTCTTTCATTTGCCCGTCTTTTGACGGCCTTCCCTTTTGACGTCCCCCTTCGAGAGGCAGCCTTTAGGTGGTGGGCCTGCTGCAGCCTCCAGCCGGCTGAAAAAACCCGCCGCGTCGCCGCGTCGCCGCGTCTCCGCGCGCCGCTGGTCCCCCGGGTTTGACTAACTTGATCCCGGCGTGGGGCGGGGCGTGGCGGCACGGGGTGGGTGGCGGCTGGGCCGTAACCTGAGATGCAGCAGACTAAATAAAAGCAGTCGTACGCCCGGGGGGGGGCGGGGCGGGGCGGGGCGAGGCGAGGCCTGGAGCGCGAAGCGCGAATCGAGCACAGTGTAGCGTCGGCCTTGTTTACCTGGCAAGCGTCCCCAAACTTGTGATATAATCGTGTTTCTGCGCTTGACTCGAGTTCCCGCTGTCAAAGGGCTTCACTTCGGCTCAGCAGCCTATTGGAATGGCATCAACAGCAGCAGAAACAAAAACACGCCGTCTTTCAGCGCCCCCGGAAAAGAAGAGCAAGCGCGACTAACGGTCGCGTCGCCCGCCACCCCTTGTCTTTTTTGTTGTTGTTGTTGTTGTTGTTGTTGTTGTTTGTGCAGTCCAGTTTGTGTAAATTTAAATTTGGGGCCGGACAACTGTTGTGTGCCACGCTCGCTCCATTACGCTAATTGAAAGAGCCTGCAATTAACAGACCGAATGCACCCCAGAGTTCCGGTTCCGGACGACCCGCGGCTAGCCCGGGCTCGCCCTGGCCCTGCCGCCATCGATCGGTGGTCGGTCCGGAAAAAAAGGTATCCCCCCACCTCAACGAAACTCGATCGCGTCGTGCAAAGACGGGGGCTTCGCCGCGCTTCGCCGACTACTATGCCAGATTTCGGAATGCGGAGGCTTATCGAAAGAGCACGCCGTCGACTCCCCGTGCTGGCCCCGTGCTCCGTACTTGTTCCCCAAACCAACAACAGCTTTGGGATCCGTGTAGTGCTCCAAGTGGCTGGGGAGCGCCGAGTGAGGCGCCCGTAGTGGGGGCGGGCAGGGCAAGCCAGGGCCAAGCCAGGGCCAAGCCCGGCGCTTTGGCGAAAGGCTCCAAGTTTGCTTCCGGTTGGTTTCAGAGGAACAGCTAACTTTTGCCGCACGGCTGGTGAGCCGGCGGGTGGCTCTCTCCCTACCCCACCCCCCCCCCCCACGGCACACACTTCGGCACCACCCGAGGCGGGCAGGCAGCGCCCCGAACCACCCGAACGCCACACTGCTATCATTTCGCGCAGTCGGACGCTTACACAACAAAAGCCGGCAACTTCGGTTCCGCTGGTTCCCCCTGGTTCCGCTCGACGCCGCGCGAGGGCGCTAGAAGGCGCCAGCGCTGCCGAGGGCGCCGTGCCAGAGGAGCCAGAGGGCGCCGCCGTGAGGCGGACCGGCGGGACGTGGTGGTGCCTTGATAGATTAGGCATGCTTGTCCCTATCGAGTGCTATCGAGCTATCGAACTGGAGCGCTGCCCATCGAGAGGCCGTAAGTAGGATGGATGGAGACAGCGGCCGGGCCGGGCGGGCCGAGGGCGGGCCAAACGGATGTACTGGATCGGGCTTTGCCTGGCTTCGCGCTTCGCCTGGGTTTGGCACAAAACGCTATCGGGGGTAAAAACGAGGGAAGCGCTGGCTCCCAGCTTCCAGCCCCGCGCGCTCCACTGCCGAGGGGAGGGGGCGGCAGAGCGGCAGAGCGCGGCAGCCAGCGAGGCCACATTGATAAGAGCGACGAGATTAGAGGCGGGGGAGTAAAAGCGAGGCAGCGCCAACAAATTTGGGGAATTCCGCGCAAGTTGTTGCAGTAGTTAGGCTGAAGTGTGACCGCGGTGATGGGCTGCCGCCTCGGGCCGCCTCGGGCATTGGGGGGGGCTTCGGGCTCACTCCGCGCGCCGCCTCGTCGCTCTCTCCTCCCCTCTCTCTCGCACCTGTGCGCAACGTCCCATGGGCGCGAGAGAGACAGAGAGTCGAAAGTGGCCTCACAGACCGCCGCCTGGAGGCCAGGCTAGGGCTGCTGATGCGGTTGCCTACCCTCCCGGGGCTGCCGCGCCGCCGCGCCGTGCAAGGCGTGGCGTGGTGCGGCGAGCGGGGTACGTGCACAGTGCAGTGCAGTGCCACGGCATCTCCGAGTTGGACCAAGTTTCCAATAAGTGCGGCCTGATAAATCGGACCGCACAGTGAGTTGGTTGTTGCGTCGCCCAGACCTGCCGCGAGTGCTCTCGGACTGGGTTCGATCGGGTTCGATCGCAGCGGGCCGCGTCACGCTCTGCCATCAGCCTAATTGTTTTCTTTTTTCCGTCTGCCCGCAGGCGGGAGGTTTTTCTTCCCGGAGACGCCGCTGCAGCCACAGCCACAGCCGCGGTTCATCCCGTTCCAGCAGACGGCGGACGACCAGCAGTTCCAGGCAGGCTTCTTCCACCAGCAACCGCCGCCGCCGCCGCAGCCTCCACAGCAGCCCTTCTCGCCCTTCCGCTCCGCGGCGCCCGACTACCATGGCGACTTCATCCAGTCGCAGCAGCAGCAGGTACGTCATGACGTTCTGGCGGCACACCCCAGGCACATCGGCGAGCCTCGCAGCCTCGCGCTGACCGCCTGGTTGCCCTTGTTGCAGATCGGGCAGTCGCAGGGCCTGCGCCAACAGCAGCCACAGCAGCAGCAGCAATCCGAGCTGAGCCCCTTCCAGCGGGTGCCCCAGTTCCAGCAGTTCCAGCAGCAGTTCCCCGCCACGGCGCCGCAGCAGTTCAGCCCCTTCGCCTTCCAGTCGGCGGCGCCGCCGTCGGCCCCCGCCGCGCCGCGCCCCCAGGTGACGCCCGTGCAGTCGCGGCTGCAGCCCAGCCAGTCCGGCGGCCAGCCCAGCGGGCCCACGTCCTTCGTGCAGCCCTTCACGCCCACCACCATTCGGCCGCCCGCCGGCACGCTGGGCGCGCTGCGGGGCCGCCGACCGACGCCCCTGGCGGAGACGACGGGGCTTGGCGCCACGGGCCCGCAGCGTTTCCTGGACCAGGTGGGCTTCAGCTCGCCCACGCTGCCGCCCACGCTGCTCAACTTCCCCAGGGACGACCTGAGGGCGACCTCCGACTTCGCCACCTCCGAGCGCCAGCAGCAGGGCCTTGACGTGCAGCAGCAACAGCGGTGGAGGCAGCCGGTCGCCTTCCCACAGGACGGCGCCGAGGACTTCTCCCCTGCCGTCCCCGACCAGCACCTCGAGGTGGAGTACCCGACGACGGCGAGGCCCCGGCCGTCCGCACTGCGCCCCGTGACGCCCGCCACGCCGCCGGCCACCGTGCCCACCACGACCACCACGCCGGCGCCGCAGCCCACCACGTACCGCGCGCCGAACCGGGGGAACGACCGCCGCATCCAGGCGCTGCTGCGGCGCAAGCCCACCGCCCGGCCGCAGCCCGTCATCCGCGGGGGGCAGCCACCCGCTGCGTCGCCCGCACAACCCGCCCGCCGCCCCTCGTCCGCGGAAGAGGCAGATGCGACCCCGAGGCCCGCGCCGACCGCGCCGCCCGCGCGCATCCGCGGCCGGATCACTCCGGCACCGCGGCCCTCGACGCCGGAGCCTTTCTTGGAGGAGGAAGAGGAGGAGTACGAAGACCTGAGCGTGCCTTCGCCTTCGCCATCACCGGTGCCAGCACGCAAGCCGACCGTGCGGCCCCGCATCACGAGGCCGCCGCCGCCGCCACCCGCCACTCGCCGCCCCACCGCCGCCACTGCTGAGCACAGCCGCGCGCCCGCTGTGTCCTCTTCGGGCATCCGCGCGCACCACCCCGGGCCCAGCTTCAGCTCCTTCAGATCGTCCACCACTCCTCAACCTCACGAGGAGGACGAGGAGTTCGATTACGAGGAGGAGGAAGAAGAGGGTGCGGACGACGTGGACGATGGCGCGGGGCACCCCTACGTCGAGTCCACGTCCTTCAGGTCCACGCCCAGCACTGCCGTGGCCGAGGACCACACGGCGCGCGCGGACCACCACGTGGAGAAGTACGACGTGGTGGCCATGCGGCCGCAGCACGCGCACGGCCAGGACTTCAAGGGCTTCGTGGACAGCGCGTCCATCGACGCCGACGGCCCCGTGCGCGACGACAAAGCAGGCGGCGTTACGGTGCACTCGAGCGTGTCCATGAAGAGGGGCCAGGATGTCGCCAAGGATGAGATGGTGGTGTCGGTGGTGACCACCAAGAGCGTCACCCACGAGGCGCCGACCACGCTGCCGCCTAACCACCGGGACGACGGCAGGGAGGCCAGCCAGGTGCAGATCGGCGCCCCACCCGCCAGCAGCGCCGCCGATGACGTCAAGGCCACCAGGGTGGCCCCGACGGCCGAGCAGGCCAACGCCACGGAGAGCTGGGTCATTGTGGCGTCCGTGCAGACGAGCCGCAGCGTGTCCGGCGCGCGGTTCATCCCGCACAGCGCCGTCACCCAGGACGAGCACCCGCTGCAGTCGCTGCAGCAGCAGGACGAGACCACCACGGCGGCCGCCAGCACCGCCAGCACCCCCACATCCACGGCCTCCGCCACCCCACCGCCGGCGAGCAGCCCCGAGCCCGGCGCGCAGGCCGCCACGCCCAAGGCCATCTCCACCGAGAGCATCATCGACAAGCTGGACCGCGTGCAGTCCGAGCTGTCGAGCGGTTTCCTCTCCGGCAGCTTCCGCGACTCCAAGATCGCCGTCGACGTTCTGCCCGACGTGATGCCGCCCACCAGCACCACATCCACCTCGACCAGCACGACGACCACCACGACTTCCACCACGACTTCCACCACGACCACGACGACGGAGGCCCCCACGACCACGCTGCCGCCCAAGCCGCCCACCGTGCCCGTCGTCATCAAGAAGTTCAATCCGTCGAACCGGCGCACCACGACGACGCGGCCGCACCCCGCCCTCAGCAGCACCCTCAAGCCGTACGGCAACCACGTGGCGTCCACCACCCCCAAGCCCAGCAAGAACCTGGCGTCGCTCTTCGACTCGATCAAGTTCGACGACCTGACGCCCGGGCTGCTGCCGGCTGGGTTCAAGCCGCGAAACGCCAAGCCCAGGACGACGACGACGACAGGCAAACCGTTCCGCTTCGAGGACCTGCTGCCGCCGGGCTACAAGCTGACCAACGACACGGAGACAGTGCAGACGCCGCCTCCGGTCCTGGCCGGCGAGGTGAGCACCAGCACGGCTGCCGCCCCCACGCAGCGCTCCAAGAGCCTCGAGTCGCTGCTCAGCAAAATCAAGTTCGAGGATGTGTCCGCGCTGCTGCCGAAGGGTTACAAGCCGCCGGCCACCACCAGCGAGGCCCCCAGCACCATCCCCGCCTCGACCGCCGCCATCACCACCACCACCACTCCCGGCCCCGCCCCTTCCAGCACGGCTAAGCCGGCGCCGAAGACCAGCGGGCTGGAGGGCCTGCTCAGCAAAATCAAATTCGACGATCCGACTTCGCTGCTTCCCAAGGGGTACAAGCCGCCAGCCAGCCCTGAGCCAGCCTCGCCGACGGAGCCTTCCACCCCCTCTGCGTCGTCCTCCACGGCCGCGCCCAAGAAGTCCTCGGCCCTGGAAGCCATTCTCAGCAAAGTCAAGTTCGAGGACCCTTCAGCTCTGCTGCCCAAGGGCTACAAACCGTCCACGGCCGCCTCCACCGAGGCCCCGCGGCAGGAAACGACGGAGAAGAAGCTCAGCATCACCAAGGTAAGATCGCTGGCCTTGAATTTCGCAAACATTTTGTTTTACTGTGGCGTTTTTTGAACCGTGACCCTCACCTTGTTCCAGGAGGTGGACATCAGCGCCTTCCTGCCGCCGGGCTTCAAGCTGAGCACCGCGGCGCCAAGCTCCACGGAGAGGACGTCGTCGCCGTCCTCGGCCTTGGAGTCCCTCATCGGCAAGGTGCACGTGGCCGACGTCGCCAGCCTGCTCCCTCCGGGCTTCAACGCGTCCGCCGGCACCGAGTCGTCGTCCAGCTCCTCGTCGACGGCACCCGATGCGACGCCGTCCTCGGCGCCGAAGCTGGTCTTCCCCAGCCGACCTGGCACTGGCACTCGCAAGCCCCTGGTCAAGGCCACGTCGCCGAGGCCAATCGTCACGCCGGCCACGCCAACCATCCGGAAGGGGGCGCCGACGAGGTGAGTTATCAAAGCGCTTGCCCCCGTCACCCTGGTGCGTTGCTTCGGCCGCCACCGTCACCGACTTGCCTTTCTGATTCCAGAGCGACCACTGTGTTCACCGGCTGGCCCACCCCGTCAACCACCCCAGTGTCGCCGGAAGTCCTTCTGGAGAGGGCGAGACAGTTGGCCGCCAACGCCACCACGTCGACCACCACTACCACCACGACCACCACGACAACCACCACCACCACCACGCCGCGGCCCACCACGCCCGGTGTGTGCGTGGACACGTGCGACCTGGCGGCCTCCATCAAGTTGGTGGGCGGCGCCAAGTGGGTGCCCGAGCTGCTGGACCACAACACCCAGGAGTGGCAGAACCTGGCTAACGAGGTGTACGACGAGGTGAGGGCGAGGGGCGTGGCGCGTGGCACGGCGTGGTGGGGCAAGCTGCAGGGCTGCAGGCTGCTGCAGCATGTCCGATCTATTGTAGTCACGTGGGCTGCAAGTTTTGTTTTCTTGACTCTTTCCCCTTTGCCTTACTGACAGCATTTTCAATGTTTGCAGCTTGATGCGGTCTACAGTAGCTCGGATGAACTCAGCCGCTGGTATAAAAAGATCCGAATTGAATCTTTCAGGTATGTTGCTCGCGTCTTATACTTAAAACCTGAGTACCATCCCTCTGTTCTCAGCCCTGAGATAACATGTTTTTATGTCGTTTTTTCAGCGAGGGAAGCATTGTTGTGGACTACGTCGTAGAGCTGACGGATATAGCGCAGGAAATCGACACGCGTGAAATAAAGCAGCTCTTCCACGAGGCGCTGCAGACCCAGCTGCAGACCCAGCTGCCCCCCGTCAACAACAGCAACTTGTCCCTCGCGGACGACAGTGAGGGCGGTGAGGGCAGCGACGGCTGGGGCGACAACGGGGACGTCATAGCCGCAGCCGCCGTGGACAGGAAGGCGGCCATGTGGAAGCTGGGCAACTTTATTTTGGATCCCACCTACACAGACTTTTACGGTTTGTTTCAGAAAATGTTATTTCATTTGATTCATATTTTCGGATGAAAGATAGAATATGGCAAAAATGTGCTGGGACTTTTGCGAGTCACTTTCTGCATATGATAGTTTTTAATTTTTGCTGTTTCATTTAACCTATGATCTCTTGGTTCCCCAGTTGTGCCTCCACTGAACATTCCAACGGTTGGCTACTCGGATGAGGATGTTTTCTTGCCCCAATGGGCAATCGCAGGAATTGTGATTGGTTTAGCTTCCCTTCTCTTTGTTATCATCTTTGGAGTGACAGTGGTAAGTATTCATGACCAAAAAAATGTTTTAAAATATTGTTTTATTTACACTTTTCATAGATTCATTGTTTTACAAACATTGCTCATTTTGTACATCACATTGTTCTTATTTTCAATAGCTTGTTAACCGTCATAAAAACTCAAAGAAGCAACCTACTCCTCTTACCGAAGATATGCTGAATGAGTTGAATAAAAATCATATGGGTGGATTAGAAAATTACGGAGCCGACGATTTATACAATATGGAGGATGTATGGAACGATAGACCATATGATAAACCACCAAAGAAGGTAGGCAACCTTTTTATTATTTATTTTCAACTAAAATTTTAATGCCTAAATTTTATTTTAAAATTTATTTACTGATAATTTTTTTGTTTTTTCAGCGCTCATCTGGTTCCATTCAAGAGAACTCTATGTCCAATCTGTATGACAGTTGGCGGTCCGAGTGGAACGGCTATTATTACAATGCATATTACGGCAACAATGGTTCAAGCCACTCAGGCTACTCTCGAAGACGTTCAGATTATGACACAAATTTCTGAGACTGGGCTTGAGTCCATTGTGATCTTACATTCACTCTGGGCTCTTGATGACTGAAATTATTCCACTTCTACTTAAGATGAGTTGATGTGTATTAGATGGTGCAGCAATGGAAACCTTCTCAAATACGGACGTTCATAGCAAAATTTTCAACAGTTTGCCTTTAAATCACAATTCATTTATGGGTATTTAAGGTAGAGTTATGCAGGTCTGTTTGTGGTGTGGACCATAGAAAGATAATGTAATATTTTGTCACTAAGTGAACAAAGAAAAGAAAGAAATTTTCCTACTGGCGAAAGTATTTTGTGCTTAAATGAATCTTTTGACATTTGTAATTATTTCCTTCTCTAGCTCTTACAATGTTTTGAACTGAAAGTACCATTTAGGTGAAAAGGAAAAGTATTTATGGACCAGATACAAATTATTTTTGAAGATTTTGAGGGTTTTAAAAACAAATTTTTGTGTAAAACTCACCATCAAGAAAGCCAATTGAACTGCTTGTACTGTTCATCAGCAAGCTTTTGGCTAAGGCCAAGTGATTTTAATGTTAAGTTACTGTTTGTGTTTTTTTACTTGTGTTGTTGTTTTTCTTGTGCATTTCTATATTTTGCTCAAACAATTTGATGAATGCCATAAATGTTCAAGCGATAAGAATATTAGTGTGTTTCGGTCATGCAGTTGCAGTTTGAAATCAAAGCTGTACACTGCACACCAGGTGTATCACTGCACTTTGCTGGTTATGTGTTAAGTGATTACTTATGGTAACTACATGTGATTGTCGAAAAAAAAAATCGGTTTGCATGTTGGTATGTGCATATTCCTTACATCTTGTAATAAGCTGATTCAATGGTCACTTTAGCTAGCCAACGTATTATCAAGGTGTGCGTCAGAAAATGTACCATAGCTCTGGCCTGTTGAACAAATATACTCTAGTCAAACAGCCAGCTATAAATGACATAAGCCCCACAATTGCAAAAGGCGTTTATCTAATTATCTAAGAATGTAAACACATATCATGAAATTGATTTTATAATGATCCTGCTTTTGCAAGATGGCAGATTATTTAGTTCTGTAAAACAGAAATTTGATTCCATGATGATTCACAGGGTAAAATTATATTGTCAGAAATCTTCTGTTCCTATCTTTAATTGACGAAATAGGGATCAGCTCGTGTATAAGAAATTCTCTAGCAGGTGTTTTGTGCTTGACCCCTAGGATTAATCACTCCTCTTTCGTGTACGGCAGTACCAGACTTTGTAAAAAGTATGAAGAAGGAGAAGTGGGCTAGTAAAACACTCTGATAAGAGCAAATGATTAATTTTGTGGAATCAGTTATAGCTATTGGTTGAAGCATTCTGTTTTTATATTGTTTTTTCTTTTTGTTTCTTTTTTTTTTCACATAATTACTCTACATTCCTCATACCTTTAAAATAATGCTACTTAGTGTTAACATTTTTACTGGAGGACAGATCCGTGGCCTGATCCAAGGTCAGACTGCAGTGAATATGTTAAAAAGCTTCCCTTCCATTCAGTGTTTACATTTTTGATTCTTAATGTAATGGTGTATACTGTTTTCCCCGTTCAATGTCTCTTAATTTTGACTCTGTAGTGACTTCTTGCCGGCGTACAAGCCAGCGTCCTAGACTACAAAGTGGCGTAAATATATATTTTAACAACTAAGAACACGCATTGATTTCATCTCCATTCTCACTCATGGCTATAGGACTCTAGGGAGGCCTAGACAGCTGGCGCCGTCTACAGCTTTTTGGTTTGATGCCGGGTTTCAAGCGTTCGACAGAAGAGACGGGCTTTATCGCAGATCCACTCGATTTCAGTAGCTTGCCGCCAAATCCCGGGCATATGTGAGGGCAAGATAAAGGGGCAAGCGTGCGACACTTGCCGGCGTTGTCCCCGGAGTTGTCAGGGGTCCGCTCTCCCACTGCAGCCAACGGCCACCGCACCGCGCACCACCGCGATTGTGGCTGTATAACGCTGCGATAGCGACAGGCACCCAGTACACGTCGCTCTCTTGCACGTACGGGGACTTCCCTATAGGTGCAAGAGAGACAGAGCGACGATAACGACTCTCGGAATCAGTGCACAGCTCGATTCGCCTCTCTAATCACGTCGCGTGGAATTGTTTTCCGATCCTGGTACAGGCACACTCGCTGTCTTCACTCACCGAAATCCTCTTAATTATAGTTAGGGAGGTAACATAAAATAAGCCAAAGTCACCTTTACGATCTTTTATTAACAAAAAAAAGGAGCCTCGTGAACACGAAAATCTCCTGCAGTTAAAAAATACTGTTTTGTACCCGACTCCTTTGATTATTTCTCCTCTTTCCGGGTACGGCAATATCAGTCAATGTAAAAAAATTATAAAAGTGAGTTTGTACTTGTAAAATACACTAACATGGAACATGAATAACTTTGTGGAACAAGTTGTAGCTAGAATTATTGGTTCAAGACTTACACTTTTCATTCTTGAGTAATCGTATACAAAGTTTCGACCCGTTCAATGTCTCTTCTCAAAGTGGCGGAAATATTTATTTTAACAACTAGGAACACGCATCGATTTCGCTCTACTCTCGCACACGCACGCACACACACACACACACACACACAAACACTCAGAGTTGACGAGCACAGCGCGTCGATCACTTGTTCTTCTTGCTGCGCAGCTTCTTGTCCTCCTTGTCCACGACGGCGGCCTTGCGGCCGCAGCAGCACCGGCACAGGGCGCGCAGCAGCAGAGCCAGCAGCACCAGGGGGGCCAGCACCACGGCCAGCACGTCCAGCAGCAGCACCTGGTACAGCTTGAGGCGCACGGACGCCGAGCGGAGGTGCTTGCCGCCGTGTTGGATCACGTGCTCCACCCAAAACACGGCCAGGTCGGCGGGCCTCATGGGCTTGGAGCGGAACAGCCGCGACAGGCGCGCCGCCGCTTCCCTGTAACTGCAGCAACAAGCACGTCACCACTCCGCCCAAATAAAAATGACACGCCATGCTGATGAGGATGGGCCTGCTTGCTTACCTGGGACTAGCGAGGACTTTGGCAATCGCTGCGCCGAGTTTCTCCTCCGACAAGTCCGTGTAGCTGACGTACTCGCAGAAGCCCTTGTTGAAGGCGCTCTTCATGTTGAACTCCTGGTCGGCGAAGGTGGGAATGCCCACCAGAGGCACCGAGTTGTACACGGACTCTTGTGTGCTGAGCAGGCCGCCGTGGGTCACGAACAGGCGCAGGTTTGGGTGAGCTGCGGGAGCAAAATGTCAAGTCAAATGCCAAAGTCCGATTCCGTGGCAAGACCAGAGCGCCTGCGAACCCCAGGGTAGGCAACATACCGCTGCTGCGCGCGGCGGGCTGCCTACCGCCGGTCGTCGGGCTGACGCGTTCTGAGCTCCACAGTCTCCAAAGTCACTAAACAGGACTTGAATCGAGCGTGTGACCCCACCAATGGATTCCGCGTTCGGAGAGCGATCCATTGGTGGGGTCAAAGGTTCGCTTCGAGTCCTATTTAGCGACTCTGGAGCTCGAAACGCGTCCGGGACTTAAACCGCCCGCACCGGTCTTCCGGCCCACCGTGCTGTGAGTGCTGTGGCTGTCTTTGAGCTCACCCAGGATGTCGGCCTGCGGCGCCCACTTGACGATGCGGATGTTGGCGGACGCGTTGGCGGGCGCGGGGCCGTCCCATTTCATGAGGACGCGCTGCTTGAGGGCGCCCAGCGCGTTGAAGATGGCCGTCGTCTTCTCCGCGGGCACGTACTCCATGATGAGGTTGGAGCCCATGCTGAAGTACACCACGCCCTCCTTGGCCTCGTCCATGTAGGTCTGCAGGTCCTGCAACCACACAAGCAGCGGGCCTCGGTCAGCGCCGTGCGCGCATCAGCCGCACCAGCACCCCGCCGAGCTGGCGAGCGGGCGAGGTGGCCGTCGTGCACCGGAACCCACCTTGGGCAGGGGCCTGGCCTTGTCCGGGATGTGCATGCCGCCGATCTCCACGACGCCCGGCACCATAGGGACCGGCGACGACAGCGAGAAGTGGTTGTTGATCAAGGTGAGGGCCAGCTTGTCGTACAGCAAGTCCGTGAGGGGAGGCGCGTCAGGGAAGAACTCCGTCACCACCTCCTGCTGGAGGGGCAGCTGGTACATCAGGTAGAGGGTGCGCATGAACGTGGACGACCTGGAAGGATTCGGGCCATTATTGGATGCACTGTGAGAAAAGGTACATGCGTCGCGCTTGCTTACAGAGTGTTGAGCAGCCTCTCCTTGAAGTCCATGTCGTCCGTGAAGCCCAGGAAGGCGTTGGGCTGCCAGGACGGGTTCATGGGGTTGCCCATGATTTCGTTGACCATCGGAGACAGTCCGAATGGATTTAGCGCCACGACGGGGGCGTTGAACTTGTGTCCCAAGGCCACCATGGCCTCCTGCAGGAAGAAGGCCTCGGTGATGACGACGTCGAACTTCTGTCCCGGCTTGTTGATCTCGGCCTTGAACGCTGGGTGCTTCAGGGTCGCCCTAAGCAGCTGAGGCCCCCAGCTTATAAAACCGAAAAAGTCCACGAAGAAGTTGTTCTTGTTGGTCAGGAACTTGATCACGCTTTTTTCTGCAAGTGACCAATATCAAACTTAGTTTTTCGAGGAAAATGGTCAGTACTCTGCATCATCGTCGTGACCCTCACGTGGGTCTGCTTACTCTTGTAGGCCTCGACCTCGGCGTCCTGCACCGAGACGATGACGTGGTTCTTGGTGGGCAGCAGCTTGTTGTCCTTCTCGGTGGGTGTGACGAACGTGATCTCGTGGCCGCGCTCCGCCAGCGCCCTCGACAGCCCCGTGAACACGATGAGGTGGCTGGGCGCGGGCATGGAGATGACCACCAGGATGCGGGCGGCCTCGGCGCCGCGCGGCGTGGCGCCGGGTGCACCGAGACACAGCACCACCGCGATGAGGCAGAGCCACCGCCACTGCGGCAGAAAGCAGGTACTGTGAAACACCTCGGGCCACACCACCCGCCGATTGGGTGGCCTAGCTTCCAGGCGGACACCCGCCCGCAGCCCGCTGGAATGGCCCCGGGCAAGTCAAGCCCAACTAATGAGCGCGTCAGTGCCGAGCCGACTGCCCGTGGCGCCTCGTCATCGTCCGAGCAATTCAAAAGAATCGTTTCGCCACTATGTCTCTGTCGCACTCACGCGGCTGTTTCTACGGGTGCGAGAGAGACAGAGCGAGAAATCGATCTACTGATTCGCTCGGCAGAAGGCGGGCTGACTCTATGCAGCCTCCCCACTTCCTTTCATTGCACCTTCAACGGTCACGAGGTACAAAGGAGAGTTAAAGCACACTGACTCTAACCCTCAATCCGGCGTAAAGTGTCGCATGTCCTTCCAGTGTGTGGAGGGGCGTCATCTGCTAAAATCCTCCAAACCTACGTACTGATTTGGTAGGTCAACGAACCCAGGTCACGCGTGACGTCACACGCCCATTCCCCCAAAGAGTTTGGAAGTTCCCTATCATGAAACCAGAGAAGCGCGACGCCAAGCCAATCTCTGGGCTGCTCTGGGCGTACGTGACGGCAAGATAGCAGGGCGAGCGGGCAACACTCACCAGCGTCCTCTCCGGTGTCGTCGCCATGGTGCTGCGTTTATGAGGTACGTCTGTCGAGTGCCGCCGCGTCCAGTCTTGTAATTGAAGTTATATAATGTAGGAGCCGGCAAGCTGGCCGGTCGCTATCTTTAGAGACACTGTCACAGACTTTCTATCACTGCAGCGGGAAAGGGCACAACAACTGGGCGGGAGCTGCGTCAGAAACGTGCAAACGTCCAACGTCCAACCTCGGCGCCGGGCCGGGTACTGGTGGCAGTTGTCAACAACAACGAAAGCGTAGACCAGTCCGGTCTGGGTCTGTGCTTCAGCTGTGCTGGTTGGGACCACGAGACCCACGCCGCTTGCCTCTCTCAAGGTCACGCGTAAGTGTCTGGCTGGATTGGCCGCGACCACAGCCCCCCCTTCCCCCCACTCCTCTTTGCCCGCTCTGCCACTGAAAGTGGGAGAAAACTAATTGTGGTGGGGGAAGGAGTTTTAGGTGCAAGAGAGATGGCTATTCTTGCACTCTTTTGAGCCGATGCCGGCCTTTTGCATCTTGTAACTGATGATGCAATCAAATGAAATAAAAAAATTTAAGACATGTACCAAATTTTAGGCAGCTCCTGAGCATTAGTACCAGTTGATAGGGCAACACAAGCGTGTAAGAGTACAAGAATGGATTGAATGGGCAGAGTCTTAAACTATCACACTCTCCATCGAAACTTTTTCTGGAATCATGTTTTGTTTCAGTTTTGGGTTTACTTTGTCTTAAAGGTATCAGTTTTGAATGTATCTTTTGTTGGAATAATATTTTTTTAAGGAGTTAAAGAAACACAAAAATACATATCCTTAAAATGTTTTATTTATTTATTTACCTTTTGTAGTAGTTGCTAACCAAACACCACACTACTCGTTACCTGTAAATTACATCTGATGTGAACGTACACAAGATGTTCATATAATCCAATAATTGACTTTTCACTGCCACTTGTTTAGAGAGGCAGTCATCATACAGGGTCCTAGTTGTCTCTACTCAACAGGTCTAAACATTCATTAGCACATTTAATGATATGAGAATCAAAGCAATTAATATGCCCCACGAGTCAAAACAAATCTTTATACACAATGAAAATAAGTGTTCCCCATGGACTACTCCACTCAAGAAACGACAAATATTTGATTTGACAAAATATGCTACTAAAATACACAAAAGCAGTATCTCCTACTTCATATTGTGGAGTGTCAAAAGCATTTTCATAACTAACACTACTCCCTTACTAGACCATAAATTTAAGGCATAGTTTCCCACTTCAAATTAATTTTTTCATTATGCTGACCACGAAATTATGGAGAGGCGTGTGTCATCAGAGTCACAAGCGTTATGTTAGTTTTAGTAATAGGGACATGGAATGCACTATGAAAATGTTATGCAGTGCTGTAATAGTCAGAGTAAATGCAGATGCAACACTCAATGTTATAAAGGTTATTGAACTTCTTCACACCTAAACATACTATGTCCATTCACAGCATTGATTGTGTGTGCTTATATGTATCACACCTGGAAGAAAAAGTTAAACATTTTGTTTAGGATCTTTGCTTTGCAATGTTAGTGTTAAATTTGCAGTATCCATAATTTTCCCTATTACTGAACTTTTTAGATGTGGTTCGACATGTCTAGAAAATACTTGAATCAGAATTCAATATTCTAACTAAACAAAAAAGCTTAAGAGACCTGCAATGAAAAATACTAAAATTTTCTTAAAATTAATTTTGTTTCAATATTGATTTCTTACTCTTTGATTAATATGGGGCATGCATTATACATTTACAGTTAAAAATGCTTGCACTTAATTCTGTGTTGTGACATTGTGTCAGTCTTCAATTTTCAGAACTGTGTCAATGGACTACTAACAAAATTAATTCAGTGGCAGCTTCAAAAACACACAGAGGAAATATTTTAAAATCTATATCAGTAGGCTTGAGATAGATTATGTTCTAGATTGTGGTACCTCACATGAGGCATTCTCATATGCACACACAATCTTATTGCATCTTAACAAGTGTAATGTTGGAGTAAACAAAGCACAGGTTTGATTTGAAGATCAGTGCTAAACCTACGCTAGTGTAGAGATTGGCATTGTTTGTGAGTAACATACTACCTAAGATGATTCATAAAACTAACTCAGCCTGCTGAAAAAAAGAGACGAGAAAAATGAAAAGATGGTTTTACACAGGTAATAATGTTTTCATTAATATGTGGCAGGTCATCCCTAGCTTGTGCACCACATCTACATAATAAAACCTGTGGCTTACAAAACAAAAAAAAATATTGTGGAAAATATACTTTTAAAAATAATATAAGAATCTTTACACTTTGTGTACAATTAAAGAATTTATGTACTTTAAGCTTAACAATAAAGTGCTCCCTAAAGCTGTCAGTAAGCTGACCCATTTGGAATTGTTGAAATCCATGTTTACCACAAGAGCAGTTGTTAGGGTTATGATGGTGGTTGTGGCGCCTGTGGTAGTCATGTGTTGGATAGCAAGTGTCCTGTCCCTTCCACAGGGCCATGTTGTGTCCATGTGCTTCTTGTGAATGGGCATGGTGTGTTCCTTCTATCTGTAAAAACCCAGACAAGAGGCGAGATGTTAAGACACGACCTTCAGAGTTGCACATCCAAATCAGTGGGAAGGGAACCTCACAGTTGTACTGTAATGGCTATCTAATCATGAAAAAGAAGGGAAGAAAGTTCATAAGGATAGTCAAAAACTAGTAGCCAACTATTTGGTTCCCTTCAGAGAAGCACCTAATTTGCACATAGAATGTTTGCGTTTAAAAACATTAAGCATTACTTGAGAGTACAGTCAGATTCAAAAGTTTTCCACTGTTACTTAAGTTAAATATAATTTGTTGTGTGTGTCGCTTGTACATGATCAATGCAAGGAAAACTTGTGTCCCTGTCTGTACTTTGTTAATTTGTTACAACATGAAATGAGTGATGAGAATTCATCATCAAATGTCTTGCTAAGAACACTTCAGCTGGTAAAAAACCTATCCACATTTTTCAATTATTGATAATCAGCCTGAAATCACTCAAAGTTTTAAAGCTGAAGTGACCTTGGCAAGATAAACACTGCTGTAAGTGGACTGTCTAAAACATGAAAACAATAAGAAAGCGATGACAGTGGCAAATAATGTTATTGCATATCAAGGCACATGCCTAGGTTCTTAAGTTACTAAATAAAGGTGTTGGAACTGTCCTGCCTGTATGTTGCACACAGTATTAGTGTAATGCCAGGGTAAGATTTATCAGTATTAAAACAATAAGTAATCCAGGTAAGTGTTAAAACAAACAACATGTTGCTAAATGACCAATAGTGTGCTGTTGTTACTTTTAATGTCCATGTTTGCTAGGACAGGGTTATACACATTGAAATTAGATCTTTAATAATAGCATTTATTTTTTTGGACATATTTCAAGTATGGAGCAACTTGCCCTGGTTACAATGGAAGGTTGGTTCAGACAGTTCGTACACACCATTCAGGTACAGAAGAGGTGTATGGGTCGGGATGTTTCCCCGAGACTTAACCTACTAATTTGGCCCGTTCGAATTGACATTTTTTTTCTTTAACAAGGCAGCAGGCAGCATGCTACTTTGGTCCAGTGACATGGAACCCATAACACCACGCTGCTGGCTGGCTTCTAACTGCTTATTCATACAATTGACAACACCAGCACCAGAATGCTGAGAGCCAAAAGTTTAACAAATACCAATACTATTGGACATAGTATTCATAGATATCATTTCGACATACAAGCACATACTCGATATGTTACAAAACTTAATTTTTAAAGAAATATGCCTATAGGACAGCCTTGTCCGCATGTGGGCCAATCATTAATTGACAAGAGATTGGATCAATTTCCGATTCGAACAACCATTGCTCGAAACATAGTGCTTCCAGTTAATAATTAGCGACTTTCATTCTGAATTACTTTATGAAAAATAAATGATCATCATCTTTTCAACAATGATATAGAAGATTAAATTATGTTTTGGGTATATAACTTAGTGGGACAATAAGTGGAAGGCATTAGAGCAAATGGTAGGGTGTTCTTGTCACAGTCATTCTTTCATTATCTAAGATCATGATTTAAGGCTTATTAGCATTCCTTACCATTCATGTTCAACTTTCCCTCATCACATGACAAGTCAAAGTCGATGGAAAATGTACAGTATCACTTTGTGCACTTACGATGCAGATAGTATTTAATACCCTAAGAAACGACTGCAATAATTTTGCAGGCTGCTCAAGAGCAATGAATGGGCGCAAATAATAATGGGAAAAAGAAACTAACAACTAGCACAGTAATGGAATCCAAAACAAATCAGGGCTTGCCTCAAGGCTTCACATACACAGCACACAGCACTAAATATGATCAAAGATAAAACTACACATGTGCCACAGGCACTTTGTCTAAATAACTTAAAGGTTAAAAATTTCTCCAGAGACAAAACAAGTAATAATTTTTTTAAAAAATTAAAAAAAAGGAGTATGAAGTGATAATGATACCTACCACAAAATATGACTTGTGTCAATAAAAATTAAAAAAAAAGAAAAGAAAAAGTTCCTGGAGGAATTGGACTTACATGATGAGATATTTGTGCAATAATAATTAAATTATTGGCTTGGCCATGACTACAGAAAAAGAAAACAACTAACACAAAAAGATAATTGAATTATCAAAAGTTTAAATGAGAAACAGAACAAGTAAGGAGTCCTCCTTGGCTTTTGTCAGTATAAAATGAAGATTGGACACCTAACTTCTCACAACCTAGAGACCAGGCATGGTAGAACTAATCTAGTCTACCACACTTACAAAACTTGTCATTAAATAAATTAGAACAATCAGCTTTCCAAAATGCACATAATGAAGTCAAACAGCTAAACACACTTGAAAATTTATTCACTGGCCAAAACCTGCTCAATCCCATCTACTTTGCCTGCACTCAAACTTTCACACACTCCCATTCCATTCAACTGGCTCTCGCACGCGCACACGCACACACACACGCACACACACACTCACTCTCTCTATCATCACTAGTACCTAAAATGTTCTCGAGTGCTGCACAACATACATCAATTCCTTCCTCATTTCCCCCCTCTTTTGGTCCCCCAACAAAGAGCAAGCTAATGCAAATTCATTTCCCAGTCCGATCATCAAAGTGAGATAAATTAGTTAGCGAGCGAGTCTGTTTCCTGCTTACTTTAATGCTAGTGGGCTTGCTGACTAGTCGTCATCCTTGCCGTCGCGCCCATCTCGCCCGTCCCGGCCGTCCCGCCCATCCCGGCCGTCTCTTTCTCTGGGCTCACGCATGGACCGCGCCGATGAGAAGCACAACTTCATATTGTAGGGGAACTTGCCGCCTGAAACATAGTTATGCAAACAGCACCGCATGACATTTTGGCCTCAATCACTCTCTCATAATGTTCATCTTATATTAAATTTCAATAAAGAATAAAAGCAAAAGAGGTAAAAAGGAATTCTCACTTTCATCCTTACCAGGGTTGTCAATTGGGTGGTGGTTGCAGTTCATTAAAACGTCAACAGCATCTTTAATGTCGTCAAATTCCAAGAGTCCTGCAGAGCTCCTCTCAGCTAATGCAAATAAAATAGAATAACATGGATGAGTACATGTACAGGCACATTTAAAAAAATATCTAAAAGCAGAGTGGACTTCCTTGACAACTTACATTTTCCTTGGAAGATTTTGATGCTTTTGGGTCGAGTTACACCGCAGTCCTCAAACACTTGGAAGAATTGGTCTTCTGTTGCATTTGGAGGAGTATTGAAGAAATGAAGAATCTACAAGCAACATATAAAGATAGATAAATATCTACCTTCACTTTTAATTTACAGACAGACAGATATTGTACTTACTCTAGATGGAGTCTGAATGCGATTTTTGCTGGCCATTGCAGGATTCATGAATCTGTTGTTTTTGGATCCTGAGAAGTCTTTGAAAGATGGGCTGTTATCTTGCAGATTGTAAGGGTTTGGTACATCTGCTAAGAAGGCCTGCTTTGAGTAGCCCAACTCTAATTTTCCTCCTTCTTTAAGTGGAGTGCCATTTAGGTTAGTGATGGTGCGCTCAACTGCTAAGGCATCCCCCATCATGACCATGGCACATCCTTCCTTTGTCTTAAGGAATTTCACCTGAGCAAGATTATTATTCGATTATTTTACCAGTCCGAAAATAACAACAATTATAACAGAAAAAATAGCTAAAAATTTTTAGTACTTACTTTTGATACATTTCCATAGAGACAAAGAAGATTAAAGAGTTTGTCGCAGTTTATTTTGGTCATGGGCAGGTTGTAGGCCATGAGGACTGATGAGTGTTGTGGGGAAGACGATGGGGGCATGAGTCCCCCGGCCATGGTGTTTCCTCCTGGACCACCAGGGCCCCGTGCGGGGTAGAGGGAATCTCGACCGCCAAACCTGCGCGAACCACCATCAGTTGGAAAACGTGGCTTTTCATTCCTTGAATAGTTAAAAAAAAGAAAGAAAAAGCGTAGCATTGGTAACAAGCACACAAACTGAACAAGCATACAAAACAAAAGCATACACAGACAGTTAGATTTTTATGAATGAAGGGGGAAAAAAAATTGAACTTGGCTTAGGAAAAATGCAAAGTAAAAGATATGTTAGAATTCTGCAAAGTTCTAATAACCCATGATCAACTGTTATAGCTGTTCACAAGTGACAAAGAAAGGAGGATAAAGGAAAGGTATCATGACATATTAAATAGCCCATATCAGGAAAATAGTCCAGTTAGATCCAAGAAAGGAAGGATTTAATAAGCACCAACCCAGAAGCAAAGACAGCGTTAAACTGATGATTCCACAGTTACAAAGCCCAATTAAGTAACCACCTGTTGAAGCGACAACAGGGGAAGACAACATCAGGCAAGCCAATTAAAAAGAGCAACACTAACATTTAGCAAAAGTAAAGAAAATAATAATTAAAAAAATATCTAAAATGATTCAGCTTTTTCTCTAATGGGTGCATTGGGACTGTGCAAGGTCTAAGGTAAGGGAGGGGAGGGAAAATGTGCACACTAAACCCGATCCCAACGACACCAACGAGCCGACTAGAGAGACCAATTTACCTGTCCATGTTGGGGGGGAATCTGTCCCCGTACGGGTCTCCGCCGAAGCCTCCGCCGCCACCGCCGCCGCCGCCCATGTGACCCGGGCCGTTCTGGAAGCCGCCGTCGTCAAAGCGGTCAGCCATGCCGCCGCCGCCGCCACCGCCGCCCTGGTTGAAGGGGCCGGCGCCGCCCCTCATGTTGTTGGCGGGGGCGCCGCCACCGCCGCCGCCGCCACCGCCAGAACCACCTGCCACACAGAGAGAGCACCGGTGTGAAAAAAACCATAGACAAACAAACGCAAAAATGACAAGCAAACAAACACAATTTGCAGAAGGGGAAAGAAACACACGCACGCATCCGTCACAGTTAGCGACCCACCCCGCCCCCAGTCAATCGTCCTCTTTTCATCGCGTCCGTCGCCGCGTCGCCCGAGCGGCCCGAGCGGCCTCGCGTTCCCGCGTGCGCCGCGACACCGCGTTTAACGAGTTTGCCTTTCCCGCTTCACGATTCATCACCGGCCGGGCGGGGCGGGGCGGGGCCGCCACGATGGATGGGCCCGCGCCTTGACTAATTATCCCGACGATCCCCGCGCCGCGCCGCACCCACACGCGGGCCGAGGCCGAGGCGCCAGCGAGCGCCTCCACTTGACAGCGCGTGGCGAGTGGCGGAGTGGGCGGCAGCGCGCCCGGCCGGCTGCCTCAAAACGGGCAAGGGGGGACGCCAAGGCAAGGCGCCATTCAGGTGCTTCCCCGGTCGGGGTCGGCGGCAGGTCGGCCGGCAGGTCGCTCGCTCCGCTCCGCGGTCCCGCGACACAGCACAGCAGCACAGCGCGGGCCAGAGGGCGAGGGGGCGTTCCCGAGACATCAAAACGCCCCTCCCCCCGCTCACCCCGCCTGCTATTTCCAAGCCGTAGAAGTAGTGCGCGCCGCATAACGACCCCGGCCGGCCCCGAAGCCCCCACCTCGCCCCGCCCACAAACAACCCCGTGGCCACCGAAACCCACAACGGCATATCCACGCGCCATAAATTTCTCCTCCGGCGCACTTTTTCGCCCCCCCTTCTTCCTTTCTCATTTTCTTTTCCTTTTAAAAATTGTTACAACACGACCGTTCCTCTCGAGGGCGCCGCCGGTGCTGCGGGGGGCAGGCGGGGGCAGGCGGGCGATCGGACAGGTGACGCGGTGCCCTAGCTAGACAAAAGACGCGGGCGCCAGCAGGGGGCGCTAAGGGCGGAGAGAGGGGAGAGCAGGCAGCCTCAGTGAGACAATGGTGCGCCGCCCCGACGGGCCGACGCCACGGCCGGCTCGGCCGGCACGGCACCGGGCAGAAATAGCGCAGGTGAAGGTGAGGCCAAGGGAGAGAGAGAGAGAAAAAAAGAGAAATCATCTTTCGCTGGCCCCTTAATGCAATATCACAAAGGCGAGGAGGAGGCGACGTCCACGAAGACTGCCTTTCAAAAAGTTTTGCTCAAACAAGAGGGCAATTTCTTTCTTATTTTGGACAAACGAAACGGACACCGGGGAAACGACTGAAGGGGCCGGTCTAATGAGCAATCTCTGCTCCGCGCCGCGCGGCGCCGCGCTTCCAGAAGCCCGCCCGCCCAAAGTGACCCAGTTGCCCACATCAGCGAAGGCGGAGCTGGCGAAACTGGCGAAGCCATACGACGCAGCCCGGGCCGGGCGGGGCGGGGCGGGGCGGGGCGCGGCAGGGCCGCACGCACTCACGGCTGGTTGCGTTCACACAGCCCCCAGCCGTTCAAACGCGCCCCCGCCCCGCCTCCACCCGCGCTACCCGGTCGGCCCAAATCCCCGGCAAACTCCTCGACAGGAGCTCGTCAAAACCACGCGAGCAACCCCGAGGAGGCCCTCCACGCTGGCGGCTTGGTTTGTCTCTCTCGTCCCCCCCGAGGAGACCCTCAACGCTGGCGGCTCCGACGGGCTGTCTCTCTCGCACCCCTACGAGGCGCCAGGAGGGAGGCGGAAGACACTCGCTGGGCGGACAGTCTACCTACAGTGACATAATTCGCCGCAACAGCGGCAACAACGCACACTGCAAGTCGCATGGACGACCTCGCGCAAAGCAGACCAACCCAGTCGTAAAAAAAAACAAGAAAAAACCGGGAATTAAAAATACATAAAACAAAAGGTAAAGAAAGTCGGGCCCGAGAGCAGCGCGGCGGCAAAGGCTGGCTGTACTTACTTCCCAATCGGAAACACTGGCAAACTCCCCCCCCTTCCCTTTTTCCATCCCTCCAATTGACAATCGGCAAGACAAAGGGGGCAAACTCGGTCTGCAATGAGCAGATAAAGGCCGCGCCCCGCCGAGCCCCGCCGAGCCGCGCCGAGCCGCGCCCCGACAAAGGATAAGCGGCTCAAGTTTGAGTCTCATCGCGCGGCAGTGCGGCAGTAGACTAGCCGATTCCGAGGGCCGTTTCCGTCGCTCCGTCTCTCTCGCACCCACACGGGCGAGGCGCAAAGGTGCCAGAGAGACGGAGCGACTCTCGGAATAATAATCAGTGTGCAGGCGCAGCGGAAAGCGTGGGGCCGAACCAAGGAAAACAAAGGGACGGGGAAACGAAGTGCAACGCGCGGCGCGAGGCCGACCACTACACTGTGTAGTGGGACCGGGCCGGACCGGGCCGCGCGGGCACAATCGGCTGCAATCAGTGGCGCCGGCCCGCCGGCCATCGGCCGCCAAACTCACAGCGCGCAGCCCTCATCACAATTTCAAAAAGACCCGCTTAATGAAGACGACCCGCCCCCCGCCACTCTCACCAGGGCCAGCAGGACCGCCAGGGCCACGGCCGGAACCAAATCAACTTCCGCCGGCCGGACCGAAGGATTAAAAGATGCTATATTAAAAAATTAAGATAAATGATTCCCGAGGAAAAGAACTCACGTGACTCTCCGTAGGGCTGTGGGCCCGCGCCATATCTCGGCGCGGCTAGCAGCGGCTGCGATCGGCCCGACCCCGACTCCTGCTTGCCTGCAACAGAGAGGAGAGAGACACAGTCAGTCAGAGTCCCGCCCACAAAAGCACGCCCGCCGCCACTCCCCGCGCGACAACACAATGATTGGCGCACGGCGGAGGGGAAGTAAAAAAGAAATAAAAATAAGGGGGACCACCAGCTCGGCAAACATTGACTCGGTTGCAATTACAGGTGGAGAGACGCGGTCGCAGCAGCAGCAAGCCAGCCGCAACCGACAGCGATGACTAGGATTCGGGCCATCCGGGCCGCGGAAGGGCGAGGCAAACCAACGCCGCCCCCAGGGCACGGCGGCACGGCCCGACCTACGCGATGACGGCGGAGAGAAAACAATTTCCGAGCGATAAATAAAAACCCACAAAAGAACAATCGAAAGTGAGGAATGACGGGAGGCAGGCGGAGGACAGCGATCAAAATGCGAGCGACGACAGCAGATTCCGAATCGGCGGGGCGTGGGTGGCCGGGGCACGGCACGGCGTGGCACGCCGCAGCGACCCCAAAAATACGTCCCGCGGCAGGGCGGCCCGCCACAGAGTGCCACACAGTGGTCAAACGGACAATCGCAATTCCGTTCCGTCACCCACTTCGTCGTCATCCGCATTCCGCCGCCCCGCCCCGCCGCGCCCAGCCGCCGGCCGCGCCAACAGAAGTGCGGCAGAGGACGCAACACGAGGAAGAAGAAGGGGAAGAAGAGGAGAAAGAAGAAGAGAAAGAAGAGAAAGAAGAGGAAGAAGAGGAAAGAAAGGGGAAGGGGAAGGGAAGGAAGGGGAAAGAGAGCAAGAGGAAGAGGAAAAGGGGAAGAAAGAAAAAGGAAGAGGAAGGAGAAAAAGGGAAGAGGAGGAGCAAGAGGAAGAGGAAGAGGAAGAGGAGCAAGAGGAAGAAGAGGAGGAGCAAGAGGAAGAAGAGGGAGACAGGCGCAAGACAACAACAAAAACGAAAAAAATAAAAAAATAAAACGCGCGGGGTGGCCGGCGGGGCGGCGCGCTGCTTATGGCTAGTCACGCCGGCGCTGCCGACGCGCTGCAGCGCTGCATATTCATCGCCAGGAACCAACCCCCAGCCACAGTGCCTTCCGGTGCCTCCCGCACTAGCAGACCGACCGGCAAGACTTGTTGCGAGTCGCTGTCTCTCTCGCACCCACGGGGCGAAAGAGAGAGAGAGGGAGCGACAGAGCGCGGTTCCAATTCAGCAGCAGGCGGGGGGGCTGTTGACGGACAAGGAAGCCGTCGGGCCGGATTACGAAAACCAAAGGAATAAACGCCAGCGAGACCGAGCGAGACAGCGAAGCGGCGACACGACGGCCAGAACATCCACGCCGTGCCGTGCCGCGCTCCACGAGAGGGGGAGGGGGAGGGGTGGCAGCGCGGCGTCGCCTGGAGTGACTGGAGGCTGGAGGCGAGCGCCTGCGAGGTAGGCACCGCGCCGGCACCGGTGCATGGAGCGCAAAGTGTTGCCTACCTCAAGGGGCTCCCTCCTTGACGCACCACAAGCACCGCGGCACGGCGGCAGCGCGAAGGGGCGGCAGAGGGGCTGCCGAGGCGTCCCCTCGACTCGACGAGAGTATCCGTCTGTCTGTCTGTCTGTCCGTCCGTCCGTCCGCCCAAACCCGGGCAGCTGCAGCTAGAAGACGCCGCGCCTTGTCCAACGCGGCGAACACGACGGCAAAATACTCGACGGCGAAACGTCTGCAGCCGAAGCCGAGCGCGGTGGCCACCGCTCGCAAAGGAAGGCGCCAAGGTGGAAAGGGGGGGGGGAGGGGGACGAAAGTGGGACGACAGCGACCACCTCGCGGCTCGCGGGCCTGGAAGACCGCCAAACCCCATTTCCTCAACATCTCGTCAGCTTCGCGACTCATTTTGGACGTCGATGGCCCGAGTCGACACAGGTAAATACCTGGTCGAGTGAGTGGGGGAGGGAGACCACTGCAACAAACGCTCATTTCTCTGGTCGGGGAGCGTGAGGCGCTGACGCCACGAGTACAACGCTCCTCCACGCCCCGAGTCTACAAACAGGCACCCGCGTGCGAAGGTTCGCCGCACGGTACACTGGCGTTTTCATGATACCGTCGTCATTTATGGAAGCGCCCTCGCGGCGATATTGCCCCCACTCAAACGGCTAGCCTGTGCAAACAGAAACCGCTCCTCTCAAGGAAGCCCTGCGCACGAATGTAAAGAAAGAATAAGCGACCGAGAGAGAGAGAGAGAGAGAGAGAGAGGGAAAGAAAGAAATACAGCACAAACAGGCGGTATACGCGATACACCTGTCAAGGCCGACTCAAACCTGCGCACTATAGACACAGAGGACGACGTCGCGGGAGCGAGAGAGAGAGAGAGAGAGAGAGAGAGAGAGAGAGAGAGAGAGAGAGAGAGAGAGAGAGAGAGAGAGAGAGAGAGAAGGAGAAAGAGAGGGAGGGATGTAGAGGGACAAGAAGGTGGGTTGACTAAATGATGCGCTGCTCTCCACTCCACGTAATAAAAAACCAGAAAAAGGGAAATAAGGAAAAAAGAAAGAGACGCCCTTATCTCGCAAATCTCCATGCAACCCGAGGCACCGCCAGGCAACGCCAGGCAACGCATCCCTTTCCAATCTCGTGCAATACATCCGTCCCCGGCCCGGGGGAAAGGGGGGGGGGGACAGAAAGGGCGCATGCCAAGTGGCAGGACCAGCCAGCCAGCCAGCAGGGCCACTGGAGTGAGGGAGGACGCAGTTCAGTCTCGCAGGGAAGAGAAAGATGCAAGAATCCACGTCGGGCCGTCGGAACGCTCCACAGACGCCATGAAGAGGCGGCCACACTACGCACTACAAAACAAACGCATTGGACATAAGCAATATAAGTCAACTGGCCTTTACGCTAATCCACCCCCACCCGCCATCCAGATCTGCAACGCGCTCGCCCCCCCCCCCCCCCCCAAGAAATAAAGCCGGGCTCTTAATTAATCCAAAAACCAATTCCGCGACGCCCCGCGCCTCCCGGCCGCATTCCGAGAGTCGTCCTCGCGGCTCCGTCTCTCTCGCACCGACACGGGACGCCCCACGAGTGCGAGAGAGACGGCGACCAAAACGAGTCTGTGGAATCAGTGCGCGGCCCAGCGGCGCGCGGAGCGACTCCAGGACGCCGTCATTCATCACCTTCAGGGGCGACGGCCCGGCCCCGCGGATGCCTCTATTACCGGCACGGCCCCGGCGCGGCCCAGGCCGGCAGCAACGCCAAATTCGCCGCATTCTTCCTTAATGAAGGCTAAAAGGTACCGAGGCCCTGGAGATCTCTAGAGCCGGCGCGCGGGCGCGCTGGCGACGGACGGACAGGCCGGCCGGGACCCCGTCGAGGCGGTCGAGGCCCCCGCCCAGCCCAATCCCCGGCCGGGCTAATCCTGCATCCGGGCCGAGGGGGCGGCGCGGGCCGGGGGCCATCCGGGACGTCATTAGTTATTCCGACGAATATCGGCCGGAAGACGGGCGTCCACGGCGGCGGCGGCGACGGCACCAGGACCGACCACCACCTCGACGGCGACCTCGACCGACCTGCGAAAGGCGAGGCGCCCCAGTTCCCGGCGCCCCGCAACGAATCAAAGAGCGCGCCAACGCCAAGGCGCCAGGCAGCGCCAAGCAGCGCCTCACCTTGGCCAGCTGCCTCTGCTACATATTTAAAATGCAATTACTGCACGGAGGCGGCAGGGCGGGGCAGGGGGCAACAAAGGAGCAAGAAGCAACCCCGTGTATACGGCCTCGCGGTGGCCGCCGGCCGCGCGGGACGGGCAGAGGAGGCACCAGCAGCGCCACTGTCGCCGCCAAGCCCCGCCCCCACCCCCCGACCGCAAGACCAGGCCGCCAAACACGTCTGCAATTTGCAAATCCCGCACGCCGCCGCGCCGCCATCGACACCGAGACCCACAACACGACGTGTTGCGGCGGCCGTGCGGCGCCAAGCAGACGACGCGTTAGCAGACGACACGAGCCCGGCATTAATCAAAGGGGTGAGGGGTGGGGGTGGCCACCATCTCCAGCGCGGCACGGCGCGGCACGGCGGCCCGAAGCGAGACGCACGGCCGGGGCCCGGCCATAAGTCAGGCCGAACGGGGCGCGGCATGAAAAACAACGAGATGGATACATTTGCTAATTAAATAAACACGACACGAACGTGGCAGGAGAGTTGCTGCGCGCAAAAAGGCAGCAAAAAGAGAATGAGAGAGAGCGACCGGGCGGTGCAGTAGCAAAGGACCCCGGGGAGGAGACCGCCCCGTTGCCACGTCGGGCCACGCCAGGGCCGGGCCTGGCCTGGCCACGCTCAGAGATCGTTACTAAACAAATGACCGAGTGGACAGACGGGTGCCCCTGTCGCCCCCGTCCCCACCACCCCAGCCCTCCCCGGACGGGGACGGCGCGGCCACTCCCCGAACGGCCGGTCCGGACGGCCGGATTCCCTCGAGGGATCGCCAAAGAAAAGTTCGGTGCGAACCGAACTCGTCCCCCTCCCCCCTCGTGGGGCGAGAGCCCCCCATAAACCAATCCATGACGCTCGCTCCAGCGACTCGACTGCCCGGCCGGCGCACAGTGCGCCAGAAGACCGGTGGAGCCGGCCAAAATCCCGGATGCGTTTTGAGCTCCCAGTCGCTAAATGGAACTCGAACCGAACGTGTGACCCCACCAATGGATTGCTCTCCGCACGAGGAATCCATTCATTGGCGCGGTCACATGACTGGTTCGAGTCCTGTTTCAGCGAGTCAGGAGCTCAAAACGCGTCCAGAGTTTTGGCCGCCTGTGCCGGTCTTCTGGCCCACCGTGCGACGAAAGCCAGGCGGCCAGGATCGCGACGAACGCCGCCGTCGACGCGCCCAAAGACCACGCTCGTCTGCACTCTCATCCGACGAGCGGAAAGTTCGTCTTTCTCGCACTCGAGGGGCAAACGTTCGGGCGCGACAGAGACAGGCCGACGACGGAAGGGCCGGCTCGGCCTGTCGCGCTGCGAGGCGCCAGGACGGCGGGGCGGCACGGCCCCCGGGGAGCACCGCGACCCCTTACACGTGTCGGCCCGCTCATCCAGCCTCGACGACGACGAACACGACGAGCAGCAGCGAGATTGAGGCGCCGTGCATTTCATCACCGAGTGGTGCCGCGCCGCCGCGCTCTGCATCGCGTCGCCCACCTGACAAAGGCGGCCCGCCCGCTGCTGCCCAAATGAAAAGACGCGCACCAAAAATAAACCGGACTAAGAAAAAAATATATATAATGACAAACCCGGCGAAGCGAGCGCAATTGGACGGAGCAAAAAGAAGAAAAAAAATCATAAAATCGAAAGAAAATGAGGAAAATAATCTCACCGCTCCACAGCGGGGTGTGTGTGTGTCCCGCGCCGTGTGGCGGCGGCGGGCCCCGCACTCCGTCTCTCTCGCACTCGCGCAGGCCGCCCCAAGAGTGCGAGAGAGAGAAAGAGACGGCGCGGAATGTGCGCGGCCCCCCGGCCGCAGGGTAATTCGGCCGAATCATTACACACTTCAACGCCGCACAATTACCCCGGCGGGGCGGCGCCTCCGCGCCACTGCTAAAGCGATACCATCCCCGTCCCCCCGCCAAATCTTGCTTCCTGCATCCTCCCCGTCTTGGCACGCGCACACAGACGGGGCGCACAGCGCCGCACAGCGCACAGCGCGGCCGGGCCGACCCGGGCCCGCTTCACACAGTCGCACCCCTTCTTATCGCCCCGCCCCGCCCCCAGATCCCGAACGGCGCGCGCTTGCGACGCACCGCCTTCTCTCTCTCCGTCGCACTCGAGAGCCGGCCCGCAGGGCGTGCGACAGAGAGAGAGAGAGAGAGAGAGAGAGAGAGAGAGAGAGAGAGAGAGAGAGAGAGGATAGAGAGAGAGAGAGAGAGAGAGAGAGAGAGAGAGAGAGAGAGAGAGAGAGAGAGAGAGAGAGAGAGAGAGAGAGAGAGAGAAACAGCCCCGGCCGCCTCCATGACTCATTAGCGGCCCCTATCTAAACACACTGGCCGCGCTTGTAATAGCGCCGCGTAAATTTCTCATTTCGCGTTCGGGCCGCGCACATTAACGTCCCATTTGGCCGGCGCGGCGAGGCGCCGTTTCACACGCGTCCCCCGAGGCCGGGCCGGCGCGGCGAGCAGGGCGTTTCGGACGCCGCCGCATTTTATTGCCGCGAGTGCGAGGCGAGGCGCGCGACCGACCGTGCGACCGACATTTAAGTATAAACACGTTGCGCGCCTCGCCATCGGCCCATCGCATATCTCAGGGCACAACGCGCAAAGGCGGCGGCGGCGCGCCGGCCAGAGAGGGGGAGGGAGAGAGACGGAAACCGAAAAAGCCGCGGCGGCCGCGGCGTTTCTTCGCAAAGCTGTGCGCGATGCGGCGTCCGCGGTCCTCCCGCCGGAGAGGACGACGCCGACGACGCGATAGTACCACTGCCTGCCTGCCGCTTTCCGGCGACGCGCGAGCTTTTCAAACACCAATTACTCATCGGAATTAATTATCAAAGTTTTCGGACCCGGGGGAAGGGGAAGGAGGAGGGTTACCGGCCGCGCCTGCAATCGGCGCGATATCCGCGCTGCCGCCACCTGTCGCAGCACTTTGGCGGAGCAGCCTCACAGCCCGGGACTACCAGGGACTACCCGGGGCTCGAGGGCCAGGCCGGGGGGCAGGGGGCAGCGCGACTCCACTCCACGGCGTCGCCCTGCGCCCTCCGACCGCGGGCAAGGCGGTCGCGACGGCCGCCGAGTCAGTCGGCTAACCAGAGTCGACGGCCACGATTCATCACGGATCGGCCTCGGCGCCCCGCACCAGCCCCGCACCAGCCGGGCGGCCAGGTCCGTGAAATAAGGTCGCCACTCACGCCAAATGTACCGGAACCAAGGTGGATTGGGGGGAGCCCGCGCTATAGGGTTACCGTGTCGGCCTACGGGCTGGTGGTGGTGGTGGCAACCCTAAACCCGAGGGGGTAACCACTCCCGTAATACCCTGTACACAAAAACCGTGTATTACGCGTAATACACGTGATCGTAATACCATTTTTGGGTCAAATGTGCCAAATTTGGGCATTTTAGGGCCGTAATACACGTGTAATACACCCGTAATACAGCGTAATACCGAGTAGTCTGTACACGATTTCTTGAAGTGTTTACCCCCTCGCCTAAACCCGACCCAACGGTTTCCGCCCGCGGGGCAGGGAGGGATGGCAAAGAAATCCCGGCAGGCCAAAACCCCCCCCAGCTTGCACAACCGCTTCCACTCCTCCGCCGCCCGCCCACTCCATTCAAAGAGACCGCTCCCCCGCAATACGAACGCAAATAACAGGCTCTCGTCGAACAGTCAAAGCAATCCGACGGGGCCATTATTTTCCCCCGCATTACAAAGCAGGTGCTTCGGTCCACTTTCCAGAGAGCATCCCTCATCCCCGCGAATCCCCGGCGCCGACTCAAACCCCGCCGTAATGGAGTCCAACTCGAGTCCGCCCCTCGAGTGCCAAGGCCCCGCCAGGGCCCCGCCTTCCTTGCCTCTAGCCTCGTGAGCCCAAGGACCAAGCAGGACACCTGCTGCATCCGTTGTCCCGTCCTAGCGACGCGCGACCCCCTCGCAGCTATTTCAGGGCCGCCAATGAGATTCCGCCAGCCCGGCAGGCAGCAAATGTTGATTGAGCCGAAAGCGACCCGACAAACTAATCAAACTTGGCGGCAAAGAGGGACCCAAGCGGCCGCTATCACGCGCCCATCGAAGAATCCAGTTTGGACTTCCCTCTTCGACCACTATTGCAAACAAGATTGCTGCGGGAATGAAGAGAAACAAATCTTGGAGGGATCTTCGACGGCGACCGACACTCGAGGGCACACTACAAGAGCTACGACACCCTCACTACAAACTACCCAAAACCTCCAAACCACTAAGTGACCGCTGTGCGGGTCCTACGTATACTTACAGAAGCACGAACACTCGCATACACAATTACCAGACAAAAACATCCCGTCTGCATACGGACTGCATCAATTCATTGAATCTCTAGACTGACTAGCCAAGGAAACTATTTAAGTGAACAAGGTTTCAGAGATGGTGATGCCAGCGGTTTCTGTGAATTCTCTATTTGGCGTTATATTTTAAACTGTGAACTCTTTCTTTGTGAATTTGAGGTCTTATATGAACATAGAGACTTTGTTTATAGAGAAAGCTCCAGCTAGGAAGCGAGTTCTTGTTATTGTTCTTGTTTTGCAGTATATGCGGACAGGGATAAAGTCCATTATGGGTTCTCCATTCCAAAGACAAGTTTTCATCTGGCAGAGTAAAGCGTTCCATGTTTCTGTTAAAAAACCTTGATGCTCTGTGACTCACCCATTGGCGGTGCTGTGTAGTCCCAACTCTCACTGTCATTTTTGTACACGTTCAGCTTGGTGGGCTGCAAAAGAGAAAAGTGGCCATGAACGTGTTGGCAGTGTCAATGTCTGTGGAGTGGCACTGTATGGCGAGTTGCCTAGCTAACTGGGCGCCGAAAACAATCAACAATGTAACAGTAGACAAATTGCTACACGCATGAGGCAGTGCGGACGCCAATCGACCTCTGTCTCGTTCTACCGCCCTTTCACCCACACACTCACTCACTCACTCTCTCACGCACGAACGCACACCGGCTCACGCGAGCTCACATCAAAAGGCCACTAACTCGGAGGCAATCGCCGACGCAAATGAGCTATACACAACGGCGCGAGCTTCCGGCGGCACTATAGTGCGCTGTGCTGTGCTGCGCCCCGGGCCCCTGGCATCCCCCAGTGGAGGGGCTTATTTACTCAGGCCATGTCGCTTTAAACTGCCAGCGCAGTGCCACTACTACTCCACTGCCATGACACCCTCCACCCTCGCAGGCTCCGCCATCCCTCTGCGAGGAGGGCCGGCAAAAAAAGGGGGAGCCAAATCGCCCCTCGCCTCTCGACCGATGACCGCGTCCGTTTCCAAACGAAGGGCTCGCTTCAACCCCTGCCCCCAGCGGCCCCTGGCCACAGGTGGCGGCCGTGTTGCGCGCGGAGTCGTGGCCCCCGAGGGGGTGGGCGTGCAGCTCTTAGTGATAGATGGGCAACCTGCACTGTAGTCCACATCCGAGCCGAGTGGCCTCCACTGGGCGCTAACCCCCCTCCCCTCGCCTCGTCGATGCTTCCCTCGGCAGCTGGAGACGCCAGCCGCGCCATTTCGCGCCCTCTCCTCTCCCTCCCTCTCTCTCGCACCCCCAGTCACACATCGACCCGGCAGCAAGTCGCCATGAGATGAACAAAACCGCCCCCCCCTCCCCTCCGGGCGACGCACAAGCCGGCCAGCAGTCCAGACATGAAAGAAAAACACACACCGCCCCCCACTCGAACCCATTCGACAAGTGTGGTGGTTTCGGGCGTGCAGGCCGTGCAGCCCGAGCGTGTTGTGGGATGTTATTCACACTGTGGCGCCCCCTGCCGGCGCGAGTCGTTGGTGGAGTGCTATGTCAGGTGTGCGACTCATTCAGATTCAGATTCGCGTTGTGGTGGTGGCGTCGTGACAAGTGGCTCCTTATTTCATCTTTCTATGGCTCCAGCGCGGCAGCGCGACAGAGCTTCGCACGGCACTGGGGAAAGCAATCCCAGTGCACACACACACACGGACACATATACACACACTCACGCGCAATCCCGAGCGAACAGCGCGCCCGGATGACAAATTTACGATCACTCCTCGCGAGAATCCAATAATCCGAAAGGAGGGGGGACAGACAGACAGACCGGCACACAAACGTACACGTCCATATGAATCAGGACAGCTCTTCACCACCGGGCCGGCGGGGCCGGCGGGGGGGACACTCAGGGACAAGGCAAACAGAGTCGCGGCCAGTCGCACGAGTTGCAGGTCGGCCACTTTGCAGTGCCCCTCGTCACCTGGAACTCGAAGTGCAGCGCTGCAGCGCACACACACTCGGACAAAACAAGTATTGGTGCTGACACGGCCACGCGGCCACGCGGCCTGCGGCGGCCTCACAGAGCCGCGCCGCGCCGGCCCACGGCCATCACACGTCCAGGCTGGAAGTTGCTTCGGAAACCGATTGCATTTTCCGAGCCCCTCCAACCCCTTCCCCCACACATCCGGCAAACGACAGCAGCAGCCCCCCGCGCTCCCAGTTTAACAGCCGCGCCGACACATTCGGGTTCGGATTGCACCGACCGCACGGCCGCCAACAACAACACATTCGGATTCAGATTGCAGACCGCACACGCGCGCGTCGCACCGCGTCGCGTCCCAGGCCGTCACGGCAGTCAATTTGGGCGAGGCGGCACGCACGGCCCGGCACGGCCCGTCACACCGCCGGGCCGTGACGCGCAGACAGCCTGCAGCGGGTCGACAAGTACGTCAGCGCGCCCAACCCGTTCCAGTCGCCCGCCGCGGCCCGCCCCGCCCCGCCACCCCAAAAATAAATACTAGTTGGACAAAATCATGAAATTAAACAAAGAGAGACTGAATGAGGAAGCAGCGCCTGTTCCGCTACAGTCGGCACACATCGTGCGTCGACTCCGCGCTGCGGCGTTCGATCAACGGATCGACTGGCTGACAACATCGGCGTTTCGGAACGACATCCAATTTGCCGCGCTCCGCTCCGCCCCGGGCAATTCCGACGCGGCATTGCCGCGCAGCCTCACCGCGGCAAGAAACTCGGGCGGACAGGTGAAACTCCGGACAAGACATCCTCTCGCTCCATCGCAGCGATTTATCGAAATGGCACTACCATCAGCAAAGCTAGCGCGAGCTAGCGGCGGCGAGAGGGATCCCCGAAAAAAAAAAGGGAGAAACTTTTCCACTCCCAGGCGCCACATCACAAGGCCGGAACTTGGTCGTTTTATTTCCTGCAGGCGGTTCAGTTCCAGCTCCAGCCGCTCGTGCACTGGAGCGCCGCTGGAGCGACACCGACTCACACACTGTCGGCAGGTGACACATTCCTTCCGCGGAGCGGCCGGCCCCGCCGCGCCCCGCCGCCTTCAAGCCGCGGCCCCGCCAAGCAGAGTTCAACGCCCCACTCTACTTAAATTAGCGACGGCGACTGAGAACGACGATCAAATAAAAAAGAGGGAGGGAGAGAGAGCAACGCAGACTCGATCGAAGGGACGCGAGCATACACGCGCGAAAAGCGCGAGGGAGAGAGAAGGGAGAAACAAAGACGAGAATGAAGACGCGCTGCGGCCGTCTCTCTCACACACTCGCCCCCCCCCCCCTCTCGCTCCCAATGAAAAACGGGCGCCATCCACTCTCCGCGGCGTTTGGCCGGGAAAGCAAAACACGCCGGCCTCGCATTCAAATCCCGATTCAGGTTCACATTCACACATTCACTTTAGAGCGGCCCGTCGCGTCGGGCGCCCTGAGTGCGTCGCGGTCGTCGAACAGCCTAGTGCCGCCGGGACGCCGGGCCCCGCGGGCGCCGCGGCGGAGAGAGGGGGGCGAGAACTACCACAATGGCGCCCAGCCAGACCACCTTTCAAAACTTTGATGCGACGAATGAAAGTAATGAAAGGCGACGGGGCGCGTCGAGTGCGCAGCGCCGGTGCACCGAGCCGCCAGGAAGGCCCCGCGGCCCCGCCAGGCCCCGCCAGGCCCCGCCAGGCACCAAGCCCATGACAATGCGACGCCGCTCTCAGAATAGAGCAGGCAGTCCCAATTAACAGTGGCCTGGCCAGACCCTCTCGGCCGCCCGTCCACCGCCTTGCGGCAGCAGCGGCAGCGACGACAGTGCCGCGCGGCGGCCCGTCCAAACCACGCAGGCAAAGCCGGCCGGACACGGACCACCCCTGAGAAATCAACCACCGGCGCCCATTACCGCACAGAGACCACAACCCGCGGCGCCGTCCGCGGTACGGCCAGGCACGGCAGGCCAGAGCCATCTCAGAACTTCCATCCACCTCGGCGAAACAGACAGACAGACAGACAGGCGGACAGCCCGCCAGGCAGGCAGACAGGCAGACAGACAGGCGGACAGACAGACAGCCCGCCAGGCAGGCAGACAGACGTACAGACAGACAGACAGACAGACAGACAGACCACAAAGACGGGGCGGGTCTCGTCATAATCGCGTCGTCGGCGTCACCGGCATGTCAGGCGGGCGTCGCGGCGGCGCGCACGCCACGGCGACACGACAAAGTCACAGCACGGCGGCACGGCGGCCGCACCGAACGCGCCGCGCCGACGACGGCCTCCTGCCCGTCGCGGCCGTCTCCCCAATTCACGCCCCTCGGCCAACGGGCCGATTCCGAGCGGCAGGTTCCCTTCTCTCTCCCTCTCGCTCGCGGGGGGCACCCCGTGGCGGGTGCGAGAGAGACAGAGACAAACCACGGCACCTAGCTCGGACGGCCCAGCCCCCCGCCTGCAGACGTCGCCGCGCTGCCCGGGACCCACACCTGGCACGCAGCCACCCTCCTGCAGGCCGGGACTCACGCACACTCACACACTCTCTCACACACACACGCACGCACTCACAATGCCAGCGCCGAGTCCACACGTCGCGCCATAGCGGAGAACGCGTCTCGGACCCGCAGACCGGATCTTTCCGGAATTTGATCCCCCACCCCCAATGTTCCACTGCCGCAACTTTTATTTTTTTTCCGCTCCCTCTCATCCCATGCCCCCCCCCCCTCCCCCTCTGGCCACCAGTCCCGGAGGGAAGGCCCCGCCCTCGGCGCGCCTCGGCGCCACAACCCCCTCGCGTCACTGTAACAGCATTTACAGTCACGTTCCCCCAAAAAGGGGAAAACACGACCAAAACGGGAGTTTGACGTGAAAAGTAGCCCGGCGCAGCACTGCGCTGTGGTGGTGGAGGCCGTGGAGCAGGAGGCCGTGGTGCTGGGCTCCAGATTGGCAATCCGGGAAGCCGAGCCAGCGGCGAGGCCAACTGCAGGGCGATAGTAGTTCTTGGGCGAGGCCGGCCAGGCCTCGCCACTGCGATAATTGCGCCCCACCTCGGAAGGGCCAGGCCGGCGAGGCATTGGCGAGGCCGGCGAAAACTAAAGGCAGGCAATTAGGCCGGGGCTTTGATCTCGGCCAGGCAGCCGGGCACACCAACGGAGGAAGAGAGACGATCGTCAACTGGGGCGACAAGACAAAGACCGCGGCCGATACAAAGACTAGCTAATTACCCCCAGAGCGAGCCGAGGCCGAGGCCTGGGGCACCGAGGCACGGCCACGCCGCTGCACTCCTCGGACCGACAGCGCAGCGCAGCGACCGGGACTCCGTTCGGCGAAGGGACGACGGGCCGCCAACAAAAACAAAAACTCAAACACGGCGGCGTTCGCTGCGACTCGGGACGACGGGGGTAACTCGAAGCGCAGCGAATGGGGGAAGCAGCACGCAGCACCGGTGCACCGATTCTCGCCTCCGATTCCCCCCGCCAAACTTTACGC